TCCTTACGAGGAGGGAGAAATGAGGACCCAGACTGTGGGGGCGATATGCTGACTCTGTAAACCGCTTAGAGAGGGCTGAAAGCCCTATGAAGCGGTATATAAGTCTAGCTGCTATTGCTATTGCTATCATATTACATGTTGCTGGTAACTGCTTTCACTGGAATATGCAGGTCATTTGAAAGGAGAAGTGTTTTAAATTTGTTTTTTTTTCTAGAAGGCTGATTATATGCAGAACAAATACTGTCAGAAGTCATCAGAGATAGGATTGACACTGTGAATAATTTGAATAATAGTTTATCATTCCATCATTATCAACTCAAATCATTTGGAGGCGAACTTTCATTTTGGTGACTGAATGCTAAACTGGGTTTAAAGTAGCTTGATATGTTGGCTAAAATTAGCAGTTTTTTAAAAAAGAAACGTTTTACCAATATAAGGGGAAACGACCAATATGTCTCATTAGATAAAGGTACAGATGCTATATGATTAAAATAGAAATTTCTTTGCTATCAATCTTTAGATACCGATTCCACCTCTGATTGGTCCTTCCTGTCTGAATTGCAGTGGCTGAGAAGGAGGAGAAGGGCTGTGAGTGTTACGGACGTCAGTAATACTGCATCAAATCAAAAGATCTCTTTGCTTTTAAAAGACATGGAAAAACATGTGAAAATGTAGTACTGTGTTAGCCCTCAGCCTTCACGCTGAAGTGATTTGTACTGCAAGAGATCATTTATTTCACCTCACATTTTTTTTCATTTCTAACAGCAAATTGGTGAAACTGACATAAATATAAATAACTGAACAAACAGCAGATACATAGGTAGGTAGGTAGTAGGTAAGTAGATGAAATTACTCAGTTCCTCAACTGAGTAAAAAAGAAACCCTCTTAATGTTTATGGCAGTATTTAATCATATACACTTTTATAGGGCAAAGAATATATGTAGGAAAGATGGAAGGTGGGAAGTACCATGAATTATGTTGGAGAATGTAGACTGCTACAAGAGATAATTACATGCTTATGAAAACTCCTTTTAAAGATTAAACAGTATTAATTTTATTATCACATAAATTTTATATGTAGCCATCTACACTTAATTATTTTAAACATTGAGGATAAATGTAATTTGTGATTGAAATAGTTGAGCTAACTAATAAAATGCTGCTGTTTATGTGACGTGGATTTAAATGCCAACAAAACATAAACCTTTTTGAAGAAAATTAATATTTAGAAACAATGATCTGTTAACTGAAAATCAAATCTCTAAACGCCGTCATTCAAAGAATGAATGGTTTGAATCCTTATGAATGCAAATAGATTGTTATGCATAGTCCATTTCTGCAACTGGTGAACAAGTTCAAGGGAATTTGGTTTCTTTCTATCAGCAAGCGTGCATACGTAGCATTTTGTGATATTCAATTTATTTGCAAATATATAGACTTCTGGTCAGAGATTCCAAAATCTATATGTGATTTTGAAAAGGAGAGCCAGTATCACAAAGTACAATGAGAAACAAACGAAGTTTAAAACTTGATCATATTCCCAACCCTGCCGAGGTGGTGCAGTGGTTAGGGTGCAGTACTGCAGGCTACTTCAGCTGACTGTTATCTGCAGTTCGGCTGTTTAAATCTCAGGGTTGACTCAGCCTTCCATCCTTCCGAGGTGGGTAAAATGAGGACCCAGACTATGGGGGCGATATGCTGACTCTGTAAACCGCTTAGAGAGGGCTGAAAGCCCTATGAAGCGGTATATAAGTCTAACTGCTATCGCTATTGCTATTCTGGGAAGGCTACAGCCAACAAACTGTATATATTTTGTTAACTTTTGTGCAATATGGACTCTTGAATGACTCAGAGAGGAACAAATCAGAATTTAACACAAACTCAAACACTGTGATATTGGACAGCTATAAACATACAAACAATAAAGAAATGGAAAAACATCATATCAAACCTGAAAAGATGTTATCTCCATATTTATTAATATTTATTAATCATATATCTCATCTTTATTTGACTAGAACTCGAGTCATACACACTGAATTCCCATGTTGTTTCTGATTAGACTCAATTATGTTTTGTTTCAGGAAATTAACTGCATTATATGCTTTCATATCACACCCTGTGACAATATAAAACTTCACTTAAACGTGAATTGATTAACTATTAGCAGAAAAAGGTTCATACAACCAGTGGTGGGTTTCAAAAAATTTTTAGAACATATTCTGTAG